CCTCCATGTCTCCTTCATGTCACCTCCATGTGTCCTCCATGTCTCCTCCATGTCTCCTCCATGTTTCCTCCATGTCTCCTTCATGTCTCCTCCATGTCTCCTCCATGTCTCCTCCATGTGTCCTTCGTGTCACCTCCATGTCTCCTCCATGTGTCCTTCGTGTCACCTCCATGTTCTTCTCCATGTCCACTCCATGTTCCAGAACTTTTGTTGTTCTGCCAAATCAACAATTTGCCGATTTGAAACCAAAAATCCTTCCGAGTAACCTCGAAGGACTCTCACCACCTCCGGTGGTCGTGCGGCAGTTTGCTGCGGAGGTTTAGGAGGTTTACAGAAGGAGGCCTACAGAGGGGGTTGAAGTTTGGCATATTTGTGTGCCGACACCTCGTCTTCCTCTCCTCCCTCCTCTTCCCCACTTAGCAGAGACTTAAGAAGGTAAGATCTCTCAAAGTGGGAGAATTATACGAAGCTTTCCTCCGGCGCTGAGCTGCAGGAGCTTTTCTCTGAGCAAACAGTGAGGTGAGCAGGCAGGACACGGCTCGCTGAGGGAGATGGAAATCTATGAGCGAGGGCCCGTCTTGCCGAGAGCTGTCATATCTGTTTACTGCTTAGCGCCACGGTGGGTGGCTGGGGACACAAGGTTCTGGCTCGGTGCCACTGTGGATCTTTCTCTCTCCGGTGTTTTCCCTCCTCAAATAATTACAAAGATATAAACGATGGTAATATTTCAGTGCTTCTCACTCGAAGCCCAGGGGGTGAGATGGAGGGAACGCTTTGTGTTTTTGTCTTTTAAATTCTTCAGTCTTCCTGCGTTTGGAGGCAAATATTCACAAAAGATACTGTCTGTTGCAAACATCTCATACACACCCACTTTGTAAAAAACACATTCAACCAAGAGCTTCATCAGAGATTTAGTCCTGGTGAAAGTCAAGACGTTCAGCGAGTTTGTCTGAGGCGCTACTTGTTTTTAATAAATTCAGAGTGTAGAGAGGTTTATACTTATTACAAAGTATGAAACAAGTTACTCTGAGAAGGATTCCAGATGTATTGATATGAAATAAACAAAAACATCAATAGAAACTGTAGCTCAGTCAAAGGCAAGAAGTGCTTGAAAAAAAAATCTGATTTATCCTTTAACTTTATTACTATTCATGTTCCTTTGGGGAAAATTAAACATCTTATTTAAGTGCTTAAAAATACCTTTTTTATTCACAATAAACGAGCCAGTATTTTAGAGTTATCTCAGCCTGAAGTAAAAATATCAAATTTAAATGTTTATCTTTGTATTTTACATCTTTAAGTGTCTTTATTAGGGGGAGTGGTGGTGCGGAGATTAGAGCAGGTGGGCCTGAGGTCAGAAGGTCACCGGGTCAACTGACAACCAACAACAACCGCTGATGTTGTTGTTGGTTGTCAATCGTTCAACATCATTCAAATTACTGACGTCAAAATGTGGTTGGGAAGGTGAAGCACCTACACCTGTCTCCACCATCATCTGCCCCACTCTGGGCCCTTGAGCAAGGCACTTAGCCCCACCATCTGCTCCCCCGGGCGCCCCAAATGGCAGCTCTCTGCTCCACACAGAGGCTGTGGTAGCTCGTGGTCTGTGGTTGTTTCAGGAAAAAAACTGACAAAAAATAAAAACCTTAGAAGGATTTTTAGGTTTAGAAAAACATGTTTATTGACTTCTCCTTGAACAAGTAAATAAATAAAAGGACGAGAAAACAAACGTGTGGCTGATTTCTCCCCTAAAAAGAAAACTTGGTGTTTTTTATTTTTGTGTACATTTGTGTTGTTTGTGTTTTCCTCTGTGCTGTCAACCACGTCACCCTCCGTCAGTAGTTTTCTAGTCAGCCTGCCACGCCCACCTCCACCTGTCACAGCTGCATCCTCTTCCACCATCCGTCCCAGTCCATGCAGCTGTTCAGACTCGGTCATCCTCAGTGGAGCGTCGTGTCACGCCACGTCCCGTTTCCCTCCACTGTCTCTTCAGTCCTCCTCATGCCGATCTTCATGTTTTCCAGCCTTTTTGTTCACTTTTGGAATAAAGCTGTGGGAGTTCAGCTCTGCCAGCTTCCTGCAGTCACAAGTTGACACCAACAAGCCACACCTGTGGACCATCTCCTTGATGAGCTGCAGGAGTACAAAAGGCTGCAGAAGACCTCCAGCCGTCATGGAGCATTACATGCCTGATGTGTTTCTGGACACCTTGCATTTATCTAATGAAAGATAAGACTCACCTTGTGTCCCTTCATGATTTCAGCATTACTTCTGCTGCCTGCCTGTTTCCTGGATTTCCACCGTACGACCTCGAGCTCCCTTATGACTTCTTGGGCTGTCTCCTCACCTTCCAGCCTCTTGCTTACCACGAGCTGGAACTCTCCTCAGACGTCCTCCTTCTGCTCACTGGAACCACTGGATCACCTGCCTCCTCAACAAACCACAAATCCTCCTGTAAGCAAGAGAAGCACCATCATACCATTCCTCTCGTATCTATATTACCTCCTCTCCTTGCTCCCCAGGGTTCCAGTCCCTCCCAGTGAACATCTGATGAAATTTAGCACTTGTAAACAGACACTGTTAAATTATCTGTTCTCTTCAGTCCTTATTCTCTGGGTTCTGTTAATTGTTACAAAAGTGACGTTTTATTTTGGAAATAGATGAGTGTTCTGGGGTTCTGTCCAACAAACCAGAACAAAAATGTGCCACTCTAAAAAAAAAACCTAAACCAGTTTTCTGGTGATTTGGTGGACAGGCAGTTTTCAGGCCTCTGGAGGATTTGTCAAACAGAGTTTAGCTGCTGTAAGTTCAGGTATTAGCTGGTGTTAAAGCGTTCCTTTGCACTTTAATAATCATCGTGTCTGAACATACGAGAAAAACAGCTTTTAAACTTTGGACAAGAAGAACGAAGAGTCGGTCCAGTCCGGATAAAATCCTCCCGTTTCCTCTCAACGTTTGACTTTTCCTCTGAAGGCCCGTTTGTCTCTGCAGAGGGAGGAGGGACAGGGTCTCCTCGCGTCTTTGTATAGTAGAGTGCTGTATGAATGGGTAAATGAGGCACAGTTTGTTGTAAAGAGCTTTTAGTGTCTTGATCAGATAGAAAGGAATATATAAGTACATACATATATAAGTACATATATAAGTACATATATGAGTACATATATATAAGTACATATATAAGTACATATGTGAGTACATATATAAGTACATATATAAGTACATATATAAGTACATATATGAGTACATATATAAGTACATATATGAGTACATATATACAAGTACATATATACAAGTACATATATAAGTACATATATATAAGTACATATATATAAGTACA